CACCCCCTTCAAAACCTTAAACTCACACTTTCCTTCACCCAACTTCATCGAGAAACGGACGAGCTCCACGTCTCCGGCTCATGCTTCGTTGCCTCCTTTCATCGCCTCTGCGCACCAACCTTCTACTCTAGCCCTTCTCCTATCCACTCTTTACTAATTTTGACGTCAGAAACGGGGTCGCCATGTCCCAAAACCCTCGTTCAGCATCCGGAATCGCTAAGAACAGCCAAAAAGTGAGTGAGTTACTACAACTTCATTCTACCCCTTCTTCCCTCTTCGCCATACCCTGCGCAGCGTCTTCTTTATCTAACTCTAATTTTACTAACCTAGCACTAAAACTGACTTCCCCAAACGACTCGCCTGGGGCCAAAACCCCGGGATCGCCTCTTTCCCCGCCCGGAGTGGCTCACAATCGAGCGAGTTCGGCGTTCTCCACCGCGCATAGCCTGCGTTTCACCATCTCTACTCTTGAATGCACTCAGGCACAAAATCCAACTAAGTTCAGCCCGCCCTCCCTTTCTTCTTCGTAGCCTCTTCTTGCCGCCGGTCCGGTCCTTCAAGCCCGTTCTCCCCCTGCACCGTACTTGTGCGCTACCCGTACTCCACAACGACGTTTGATGACACAGACCGCAAGACGGTGATCAAGGAAACCGAAATCTGTTTAAGGACCGCGTTAGCCACTTACCTTCGAATCCGTCCGTCTGACTGCGCAAGGCACTGAGGCGCGTGTCCTACGTCCGGCTGTTTCGGGCCAGCCCAGTACTACGGCGATCAGAAAAACGCGGCCTATTGCCGAGTCTACCGATTTTAGCCCAAGAGAGGTGGGTTTCGTGCAACTAGCCGCCACCGTCTAGCCTCCCCCCCCCCGGCCTGTCCGTCTGGCTATGCCCAGGGTCGGCCCACCATCTTCCGGATTCCAACGGGTTTGCTCACACTCAAGCCTCTCACAACAAACGGCGGGTGGCGAGCTGCATGCTCGCAGCGTCCCCTGCTACCCCCAGCCTGCAGCCCCATAGGTCCCTTTCGGAATGTTCTCTTCGATCCGTACTTCAAAACATGAGGGGCAGGGGAATTCATCCACACCCCGACACTCCGGGACTTGCACGGGCTCGTCAAAAAGAGGCGTATGCTATAGGTCCTCGATTTGTCGCGACGACCACTACCTGAACCCTTCTCGCGTCCGACTTAGGAAAGTCAAGCGTGAAGCTAAGTAAATAGCGACGATACAAAAAATTAAATACTCAGAAATTTTTAACCATAAGAAGACGACGGTCGCCGCTAATACCGCCCCGACTCCGTCTACGGCATAACCAAGGAGGATAGCCACGTCGGGCCCTCAACCCCTCGGTCCCTTCACGCTACTCTGATATCCCCGCGTTGCCGCCGCTCGATCTCGATCCCCGAATCCCTCTGTTGGGAGTTCGATGCGGTAACCAAGTAATGCTAGGCCCAACTCTGGGTCTAGCCTTGACGGACCTCTAAATAAACAAGCACTGTGCGACGCGCGGATCTATCACGCTTTCAAAATCCTATTGTTGTTGGTGTCGTCCTCCATACGTACTTACAGGTCATGGACAAGCGCACCAATCAAGAGACCAAATCTTCTATGTCCTAGTTTAATCAGGAAATAGAGAAAATCAGGTCGGCGATCACGTCGGTTCTTCAGTTATTAATAATAAAATCACGCACGCCTCAAGCTTGCGCGCCCACACACTCTCTGCTCTAGTAAACCATTCAGTCAACGTAGACCACAGATGTGACCGCGCCTCGCGCGGTATACTTAATCCTTATACCTTATTTTCTGTTGCTTACAAAAAAACAGGGCTGATACCCTTGTCAGGGTATTCGCACAGACATCGTGGACCGACCTCGTACTTTGAGTAAGTCAAGAATGCATATCGCTGATTAAAGCAGACTTCATGACTTTCTCAAAAAAAGAAATTGTAGTTTGCAGATGTACCCTGCCTCTCGAAATTTCGTTTGCGAGCGGTTCACATCACTCGGGGGGAGGCAGAGATCCAGGAGTAATCATGGCTCAGCTTAACTGAGTCAGGGCCTCTTGTGAAATCTCGGTAAATTAAAAATGCAGATCAGACATTCGAGCGCTTGAGGGACTGAATCTATTTTATGGAGTTCGGTAGGAGCCTGTTCCTTACTTGGACTTGTCAACCTTGAACTGACCCCTTTCGCACTCCAGGTGACCTCCTTTGTATAGGACTGATCGAGGTTCTCGGGTCCGCACCAAGCACAATACTCAGCTACTGCCGAGGAGCCTAGGACCCTTGAGAACTACGAAAAGTCCTCGTACTGAAGCCTGCACTCGAGCATGGGCTGAATTTTGAGTTTAGAGTTGCCATGTTGAACGGAATCATGCACTTAGACAACACAACGAACTAGATGTGAGTGGACTTAGTGCATAAGGTCCCTATTCAGCACGAGTGAGTCATGTCCAAATTGGGTGCCTGGTACTCCGATCACTTGCCTTGACGCATTCCGACAAAGAGTTATAATGAGAAAAGGAGAGGAGTGAGTTACAACGAGTTATGGCAGATAATGACAATTGGTAACAAGCTTATTTGGTCTCTCCACAGACAGAGGCATAACGAGCCTCAACAGGGAATGATCGCTAGCGAGCTCGGGGAACTTAAGGGAACTCTCATTTGAACTCTACCCGTACCTATCAATAACAATTTGTAGGGAAACTGTCCTATTTATCGGTGCAGACCAAACAGTTACGGGCAATCTTTTCACAAACTCTGATTAGGCTGTTTCCGGATCTGCATCGGTCAGACTGTGCTTTACCTTTTCCTTGGCACTCAGAGTTGTTTCAATATCAGCATCAGACCATGAGAGAGAATTAGTCACCACTTGTTTGTGTCAGTTGTCTCCTTGTAGATCAGGCTCCGTCTCGACGTTTAAGTAGTAGAGTGACTAGCAGGCAGTATTGGAGAACACTTATTATACCAGAACGAAGCTCTAATAGAACCCAGCTACCCTGTCAAGTGAACCAGACGCATAATATCCCGCAGCTGTTTCTCTGCAATTCGTGTCCTTGTCTGTGCTTGATCATACAGGACACGATCAGAGATCTTAAGTCAAGGTCTATTGACATCAGTCATCTACAGCCTAACCTACTCATTGTCTGGGGCATGGAAAGAGAAGTCATGTAAGACAAGGAAACCCTAGTAATAAAATGTGGGGTTATTATGAACAAGCATGAGAACTGGGAGTCCGAGGCAACTGCGTGTATGGAGCTTCAGAAATCGGTCATAAGGGAGAGTGTAGTCCAGAGGATTGGGAAAGAAAAATGCATAAAATATGTGTACTACTTCTATGGTTGCAACGACAAGCTACATAGTATTGGTTCCTTCTTAGAGACAGTGGAGCGGGTCAGGACAGAACTCAGGTGAGAGAGAGTATGCCCAGGTCCTTCTCCCAAAAATCCCCATCAGCATTTCAAATGCCAAATGTCACCCAGCAAGCAACAGTTCCTCCAACATTCCACAACTCAGTGATCATAGTCCAACGAGTTATTTTCCCAGCAAGCATCCAATCATTCGAGGTACCTTAAAACTTCAATCAAGATCAATCTGTGTTCAGTCATTATCATCAGACACAAAAATCAATACCAGTCAAACTATGTTCTCACCAGAGGATACAAATCCAGTTTCAGCACCCGCATCAACACATGAGTGCAATCCGGTCATTCCCAGTCTAGGAGGCTGTTCTGGTTGGTCTCAATAGACTCACTTCTAAAGATGCTTTCCAATACTGTTATGTTAGTGCAGTTTGCTTCAAACAAGGAGATCTGTCGATCTTTGAAGTCCTTACTTAGTTCGCTGAGGGTGCAATCTACAACCTGAGGCCCTGGATCTCGACACTCAATTTCCTCGAGGAGAAAGAGAGGGAGCTTGACGGGGAAGGTATCAAACTGATTCGCAACTTCGGACCAAAGCTCTACACTGACTACCCCAAGCCTCTGGTTCCTTTCCTCCTCACAGACGGCTCCTGCTGGAGTGACTTGGTGAATCTAGCCAAGAGGTACATTTCACTTGCAGAGATTGACTATGAGGCAGTGGTCGAACCATCTGAGTTCCAACATCTCAGATGAGGTAATTTCTCTCAACCATACCTTCTTACTCTATGGGAGGAGTTTTGTGTTATGGTTGACTTTCTTATCATGGGACTCAGATAAAAATGTTCAGAACTTGCAGGCTTCAAGTGGCTCTATATCCAGAGGTCACGACCTCAAAGAGTACAAGGACGAAATGAGAGATTGAATGCACGACCCAAAGGGATGAGTGAGGACTTTTGACTAGTGCTGACCATGCTGCCTTCATGTGTACTTTATGAGATTATTATGAGTTCTCATCCGTCCCTCACTTATTATTGTCTCTGACTTGAGTCAGTCAGCCCTACTTCATTTGCATTGACTCTGATTGATGATTGTGCTCTCTACTGATCATGTCACAGTTCTCAAAAATGAGTAAATTGGCAAAATTGATGCATGCATGATACATCAGATTTATTACTATTATTCACATGATCTTTGTTGTTCCGAATGAAAGATTCCTAAGACCGGGGACCGACGAAGGTCGTAATTGAAGGGTCTCGCTCGAAGCCGAACGTACACAACAGGAAAGGATTTGCTATAATTTATTTATTTATTTATTGCAATCATCATCAAAATCCTGCGTGACATCTTGTTGGTTTTTTGATCGCCCGAAGTGACCTGACTAGAAAAAGTGCGACACCGTGCGAACGCCTGAGCACGAGGGCCGCTGAATGCCATAAGTTGAGCCCTTTCTCGCTCCATGATGCCACGTGCCATATTTGTAGACTCCGCCCCCATCCTCTCTCTCGAGGTCTGCGACCCCATCTCGCCGGCCGCCTCGTCCCTCGATGGTGCTCGATCAATCGATGTCGCCCCGCCTCAAGTAGGGGGAACGCCCATCGACATGTCAAAGTCGAAGTGGGTCCCCATCTCTGAACCCGCCCACTCTGTGGGAGGAGACATCCCCAGCCCCCTCACCACACCGGGGGTGAGACCCCTTATGACTGGATCGAGCTCCTCCGTGATTAACTGCTGCATAAGGTGTTCCTTGACATCGTCACTGCCTTAGTGCTGTTTGCACTATCATGCTCCATATGAACGTCTGACACCACCGTTGGTGGCGCTACCTTCTCCTCCCCCTCCATTGCGGCTGCTATACCCCCCTCCACTCTTGCTGCAGCTGGCACCTTCTCCACCCCCGTCGCTACTGCTGGTACCTCCTCCTCCGCTGCTGCTACCTCCCCCTCCACCGCTGTCATTGTCATGACCTCCTCCTCCGCTCGAGCTGGTTCCCCTGTGTCCGCTGGAGTGCCACGATGGGCGACCTCCTCCTGCAAGACTGCCGAGGAAGGCGGTCGTAACCTCAGCTGGCGGACCACCATAGATCTCTGCGGAAGTCAGTATTGAGGCAAGGAGGATGCCAACTCCTCAGTCTCCGCCGTTGTAGTGTCTGACTGAAGTGGCAAGATGGGCGATGGTGGTGCAGTACTCGGAGCAGGAGGTGGTGGAATGGACGACTCTCGCCTCATCGAAGTAGGAGTCCTCATCCCCGCCTCTACGTGGCTCGTGCCTGCATGAGAGCCCCTAACTCTGTCATCACGCTCATCACCTGTGGAAGCCACCTCCCCGAAAGGGCCCCAACAATCCTCGCCTCCCCCCATCATTTTCCTCTTTGCCCGGTCTACCACCCGCCGTGCGGTGTATGTCCTCGTCTCCGTGTCATCGGCATCCTCGCGCATCTCGTCGATCGTGTGAGGAATGGGGAGCGCAAGGTCATCTTCTGCCTCGGGTGCCCTCTCCTCATCCGAGTCATCGTCCCTGGGATACGGACGGAAAATGCAAGCACGTCTATCAAAAACAGCATCAACAGAGGGCGGTGCAGAAGCCCCAATGGGATCGCGCGTAATAAGCGCAACCTGTTGGGCGATCTCCTCGTGCGTCATCCCCTTGCGCATGCCCATGTGCACCGGCTCCACCTCGAGTCCTGCCTGGCAGTCGAGCATGCCCTCGTCCTGCTACCATGGCAACACATAACTGCATCCTGACCGCCGATACTCTGTCAACCGCACATTTGCGGTGATCTCAACGAGTTGCACGATCTTCTCGAAGGCCAACCTGTTGCGCTTCTTCGTGTGGATGCCCTCGTGGACTTCCCAGTTCCTCTCCGTTGGAGAGACGCAGGAGCACATGTGCATCACATGAAGAGTGCACCGCTACAACTCAAGCATGCCAGCCTCGTACTGCGACCACGAAGACGCGCACTCGATCGTTTCTGCGTCACCGCTACACGCGCGCCCACGAGCACACCCCTCCACCCTGCCCCAATCACCAAACCTGCCCTGCTGCATGTGAAAGTCCTCAAACTGCTGACAGACAACGATGTAATCCGCACCGTCTAACTCGAAACCCATCTGTGTCAGAATGTACCTCTTGGCTTGCCTCACAAGCCAAGCATGGTAACTCTCCACCTCGCCTGAAAAGTATTAAACATAACGCCTAAGGGGGTTCAGTAACAACCCAGCGCAGTGAGCCGGCTCAAGCATATGCTGTGTGCGGGCCAGCACACGCCTAATGATCCGGCCTGCGAAGGACTGGGCCAAATGAGCGGATGCGTCCTTCACACGGTGGACAAGATCATGTGCCCACTCGATTCATGAGCGACATGAACTGCCCTTCACGATCCATCCGCCTAAGCAATGCATGACGGACTCCACGATATGGACGATGCAAGTCGTCCCCTTGCATCATGCCCTCCAAAGTATCCTGCAGAGCCAACAACCTCTCCAACATGGACTAAACAGACACAAATCGCGTCTCGCAGAACATAACAAGCCTCTTGTTGGGGCTGCGCTTCCTAAAAAAATGAAGGGCGGCCTGGTGGGCTTGGAAAACCATCACCAGCACACAAGCGTGTGTGATCGTGTCCACAAACGCGTCACAACTCGTCCCCATGTCTGACAACAATTTGTTGCAAACATGGACAGAGCATGGGAGCCAAGTGATCCTCCTCAGTGCAACAAGCATGGTCGACGAGGCCATTGCCCTTGCAATCCCCACGTATGCTAAAGCGGAGTCAGTGCATATCGCATCGACCCGTTGTGGCCCACCGAACTCGTGGAAGATGGTGACCCATCTCCGAAGGACGTGCTTTACATCGTCCGGTTCCCCCTCTCGATTGATCATCATGTTCATGACGACCCCTCGCGAGCCTGCGACAAGGAAATTCACAATCGGTCTCCCGTCTCGTGATTTCCTCCCGTCTGAGAGGATGGTGGCTCCAGTCACCTAGAATGGTTGCCTCACCTCCTCCAATTCCTCCGCCAACCCGCACGGTGGGTCTCCACCGCCTGCATGCTTGCAATCTCGCTGTGGCTGGGGAGCACACCACGCGGCAAACTGCCAGGCTGCTCAAGAAGCACCAATTGATATGCCCTTCATGCCTCGTTGCGAAAGGCATTGAAGGAGACCCCGTTGGAATAAAGCCAGCGAAGGAAGACCTTCTTGTGGTGATAAACCCACTCGCCACCGTAAACCTCTGTCACCTTTTGTTGGCGAAGCCTCTTTCCAGCTTGGGTGGCAGCCGAATCAGCTCCTCCTTCCTTCCTCTTTGAAGGACCCTTCTCCCTTAGACCCTCTGTTGTGGGTACCTATCCCTTGCCTGCTCGTCGCAGCCAGCCCACCATCCTCTCCCCAGTGACTGGATGGAACTATAGCACGTCCTCGTGTCCCAGGAATCCCTCCTTGCCCGGGCTACGTGCCTTGTGATCGATGTGGATCACGTCCTCCTCCATGTCACTGCCTCCACACCCCAATGGGCGGTCGGGCACACCCAACCCACCATCTCCCCCGCCCTCTCCCTTCACTGGACGCTGCCCCGCCTCTCCTCCCCTACACCACCGACCTAGGGCACACCGAGTCCACGCTCCGTTGCATACCTGCCAACCCTCTCCATCTGATCAGACTCTAATTTCTTTTGAGTCTTTCTTGGGATCTCGCACAATGCCCCGTTGCAGACGTCCTTGCAGTAGTTAGTCCGGACGAAGCGTCTCGTGGCCTGGTACTGAGTTCCCTGGAACACTTTGTTGCAAAATGAGCAATGCAATATCATCACCCCTTTGTTGTCGATCCGACGACAAGCTACTGATACACAGGGGAGCAACCCCTGAACGTCTCCTACACATGTTCTGGAGCAGACTCATATTGGCGCCACTGTGCCCTCCCCATGGCGACTGTCCTCTTTCACGCTCCGAAGCAGCGACCCGGAGCTCGCTCTACGAGGCCTCCCAACCCCTGTAATTTGATGACGGCTCCCATCCCCCCCCTACCCCCCCCCAGCCCTACCCCCACCGCCTCCGCCTCCCCCTCATAAACCCGCCCGAACACCGTCTCACACCACCACACACCGACAAACGACCGCTGAACGCCCGCGTTCAATTGCGTTCAACACCATTGAATCGCATTCTAATGCCTTTAATGCTGTTGAATTAAAAATTCAACGGCGTTCTACGCCGCCGCTTGTTGAAACCCGCCATCGTCGTCGATCGCGCAGCGTTGACACTCTCGCTCCGCTGCTGCTCCCACTCCCGCTCTGCTCCAGCCTCCGTTCCTATTGCTCCTCTCTCTCTCTCTCTCTCTCTCTCTCTCTCTCTCTCTCTCTCTCTCTCTCTCTCTCTCTCTCTCTCTCT